GCAATTGTCGGCAGGGGACGGTGGCTTCGGGTCCTTCCGAGGCCGCAGCCCACTGCCGACATTTTCCCCCAGCTGAGCAGCGGGGCTTCAAAGCTCCCGCCGCTCAGCTGGGGGAAAATGGTGCCTATGGGGAAAAATCGCAAAGCGATTTTTCCCCATAGGCAAGATCGTTGTGCGATCGCAAAAGCGATGGCAACAAAGCCATCGCTATGCGATTTTTTCGTTAAACGGGGCACTCGTTAAGCGAGGCACCACTGTATGCTCTTGCAGCAAAGTATTGCTTATTAGCAAGGTGTGGCTGTGTACTGAGGCATCCGCAGCCACCAGACTTCTGGACACTGCCTGTTTCTGCCTTATGGTCTATTGAAAAGAATGGTTTGTGGAAGTTTGGTAGATTATGAAGTTGGTTAAAGTAACCATTTTAAAAGGAACCTTGGTACAGCCTGCTCGTGATTAATCAAACACTGGAGAAGGAGAATCCAATACACTGTAAAACAAGTTAATCTTTTATCTTGATTCAGCTGTAATTGTGAAAGACCCGAAACAGTCTTGTGTACAAACACAATTTGTCGAAGTGAAGCATATTTCAGAACATCCTGGGAGGCAGTGCCGAAATCACCACACAGAAGGAATAGAAAGATACCATTTGTGTAATTTCTCAAAAACATTCAAAATACACATTTGTTTACCTTTCCAGCTTTTTTTTTCTTACTTTTCTTCTTTGTATCTTTTGGGGGCGAAAGTGAAGACAGAAGAATTCTGTTCATCTCAAGTCCTGTTTGGAGCTGAAGCAAAATATGCAACCAGATGTTATGAAATGGATATCTCAGTCCAGAACTAATATTAAAAGTAGAGGTACGCATAACTAATTAATCTCTCATAACCAAACAGCCACCAATGTCTCTTTCTGAATCTACTGGAACAGGAATTTCATCTCTTCAATGTAATACTAGAGTTTACTGGAAAAAGAAAAGCTTTGAAAGATTGCATAAACCACTGGTTCTTAACCTTGGGTTACTCAGGAGTTTTGAACTGCAACTCCCAGAAGCCTTCACCACCAACTGTGCTGGCTGGGGTTTCTGGGAGTTGCAGTTCAAAAACATCCGAGTAACAAAGGTTAAGAACCACTGGCATAAACCATCTAGCCAACTGTTCACCATCAGGAACATGAACTGCACTTCAGAAGCTCATCTACTGAGACGATTCCCCTTTGCCATCGGCAAACATTGAACAAAACTCTTGCCAGGTCTATAGATGTTCAAATTCATTAGCAACATCTGCTCAGTGCATAATATCTATCTTTATCAAGTTGTAAATAAATGATAGCATGCTGACATAAGCATTATCTCTCATTATACAGCACTTTCCAGATACAACCTGCTTTCCAGCTGTTTTTATGTACTTCTGTGTTAAGTCACCTGAGGTGGGTAAGATTATAGGTCAGTAACTAGGGCTAATAAAGCTATGGGGTATATACGCAACAAACACCTTGCTTTGCTAAAAACATCATATTCTACCAGAACACATTAAACTAGAATGTTACAAAAGACAGAACTAGGGCCTGAACTAATTTGGGCTCCAATGACTAAAATCATTGGCACGGCATCCCATATCCATTCCCCCAGACTGGCTAGGTCACTTATCTTGTGTTGCATGTCACCAGGGTCCTTTTCCACTGGTGCTCGAATCCGGGCAACGGCTCAGGATGCCCACTCCCTCCTGCTCCAGCAGCTGACCACTCCAACAAGGAGATCAGGCTGCCAGGAGAGGCGAGAACAGACAGCCTGGTTTGGAACACCACTGGAGAAGAAGGACCTGGTGGCATGAACACAAGATAAGTTGCCCAGCTGATCCCCAGGGTATGGGGAGCAGACAAATTAATGTTAGAGCCCAAGTTACTTCGGTCCCATCTCTAGACAGATCTTTTAGAATGTACTAATCCAACAGTTCTTAACTTGTAATCTACTAAACTGAATACAATACCCTAGTTTACTGCTGTGTCCACTATTGTTCAACAGCATTTTTAAAACTATAGCCAGATAAGGAATCATACAGCCGATGGAGTTGTGTGCAATTTTGCAGGTAAAATCATGTAGGCTTATAAAAATCAGTTATTTGTAGATTTGAGAATACCAGGAATATTCCCTGCATCTATGTCAAGATTTGAGGCAAACACCTCTTGCTAATTAAAATTAGTGCATAATTATCTTGATGGTGAAATAACAAGTGGTTCATGAGGATGTAGACAACATCTGAAAAAAAGCTAGGTTACACTTATTATATAATATACAAATCAACATCTCAAACTTAAGTGCAGAACCCACATCTAAAGCTGGTATTCTCGCTTCCTAATAAAATGAAACAAAACCTCCAAACCAAACAACAACAACAGGTTGCAAGTAGATAAGCTTAAAATTCTATGGCCACATACTTTATGAAACATCACATTATGGAATAAGTTGTTTTCTCCCTATTAATGAGGGCACAGAGACAGTTTCTTTAAAAAGACTAGTCTGTTCACTAAACTGAGATGCAGCAATACTAATACTGACAAGATAGAAACATTCAAATTTAAATTTCCAAGATGTCAGTGCTTTTCAGAAGGAAAGCAAGACACAGGAGAAAACGTATTTCTTGTAAATTCAGTATGAAGTAACCATAAATTGAGGCATAAAGAAAACACAGTAGTGACATGGTATGACTTCAAAACTGCTTGTTAATGCCAAAAGGAAGCCAGTGGAACCTCCTGTTTCATCATTGCAGTAGCATCACAGCAAATCTTCTTCACCTGTGCAGCTTTGTCTTGTATTAGCTTGCGCTGGTGCTGTTCTTCTTGAAGCTTATGTTCCAGGCACTTGATCTTTTCCTTTGACAGGAGAAAACATAATATGAAAGAGATGATTCAAACTAACTCATGTTAATGACGACATGTTTATTTTCTCGTTAAAGACTAGCAATGACTTTTTCCAACATAAGACAGGAAATAGAAAAGGCAATCTTGGTCACTCTACAGTGGTGCCTCGCTTAACAATGAATCCGCTTGACGACGATCTTTTTGCGATCGCAAAACGATGGTCTAAATGGGGGAATTTCGCTTTGCGATGATCGGTTCCCTGCTTCGGGAACCAATTCTTCACAAAACGATGTTTTTCTAACAGCTGATGGGCGGTTTCAAAATGGCCGCCAGGTAATTAAAATGGCTCCCCGCTGTGTTTAGGGACAGATTCCTTGCTATACAGGCAGCGAAAATGGCCCCCATATGGAGGATCTTCGCTGGACGGTGTTTTTACCCCACTTGAACGCATTAAACGGGTTTCAATGCTTTTCAATGCTTTTTTTTCCTGGCTTTACTGTACTATGTTTTTTCTTAACAGCAATTTTCCTGGAACGGATTATTGTCATTAAGCGAGGCACCACTGTATTACAGAAACACCTAAATCCTTGATAGCTAGTATTTGGAATGGTACCCTTGTAAATGTTACATTCTATTAGAGAGCTGATGAATGATGTCATCTTATTTGCTTACTTCTGCAGTCTTCTGGGTGATAGTAAGTCTCTCACATTCTTTTTCCAGAATTTCAAGTTTGTCAAGTTTTACACATAGCTCCACATGATTCTGCTCCTTTTCCTTCTGAAGTTGGGTCTGGAAAATGTTCATAAAGTGTTGTTTGGCAGATGAAAACATGTCTTTTTGCAATGCCTAATAACTGAAAAGATCACGTTCAATGCCACAACAGATGTCAGACGGAGGGTCCTGAACAGAAAGTAACATAATCATGTATTACGAGGTCCAACTGTGGGTGGCTTGATGGATGGGGAGAAGCACCAGAATTCCAGACCATCACCATGCCCTCTCTACTGGGGACAATGCTGAGAGGGACTGGGTCTGCAATGCCAAACTAGAAAGGGCGTAGGATTGCTAACCCTGACCGAGCTGCAACATTGGATCAGGAAGTGTTTGGGGTGCCATCACTGATTGCAAGGGGGACTGCCAAGAGCCACCCATCCAGACCCACCTCCCATCCAAACAGTCAACCTGCCAGGCACCCTGCCCTCGCTGTGGGTGTACTGGCCCTTGCTTTAGCAGGCCTTCAGCTTCAGAACCTCATGGTTCCTGCCTCAGTGTAATTAACTTGGGGTCTGGAGGGAGATAAAACTGAGGCAGGGTTAATGAATATTACTAGCCCTGGGGTGCTGCCACTCTCTGAACAAACCACTGTTGACACTTTTTGTCCAAAGTCAAACAAACCTCTCTTTGTTTAAACCTGCTAGTATCAACTTCATGGATAAGGGAATGGAGGAGGGACAACTCATTGACCTTGGGAGTGGGGCTCACAGAGTACCAAAAAATCTGCATATAATGTTTAAAATAATCATTTTCCTTTATACCCTGTTGATATTTGTTATCTGTAAGTTGGCGAGGTGGTAATTTTAATAAGAAACACAAAACAAAAGCAAAAAAAGAGACCTTTTTGGCTCTTTAAAGACTAACTGCAGTCTTTTAATGTATGCTTTTGTGGAACATTGCTCACTTTAAGATTAAGTGCCTGTTAATTTTACCAATGGATGACCTATTAATGAAAACACAGGATCCGCAGGAATCACTAGAAACATTAATTTGTACAACTCATGTTCTACTCATTTGAGCATGTTTAAAGGAAAAATCAAGGAAGTATATTCGATACAGGGCAACAAATCAAGTAGAAATAACAGGGGAAAACTACAAAATATTAAGCATATGCACCTGTTGTTCCAGAACCAATTTCTTTTCCAACTCTGCACTGACCACCATTTTCCTCATGTAATCTAGTTGTTTTTCCAGTAAAGAACAGCGAGATTGTGCTGTTTCTAATTGCATGCTTACATCTGAAGAAGAGAAAAATAAAGGAAACACACACATTTAACATATTTTTATTCTAATTTTCAACATATTTCATAAGTGCATTAAATTTATTTAACTCTTGACTCTTTGCTTACTTTTGGTATTGCTGGATTCTGATCTGCAATTACACACCCACCCCCCTAATGTTTCCATTTCAAATTACTTTACTAGCAGTAGACGTTCATGAAGTTCTCTGCCTTATTCAAAAACTAATGTAAGCAGTTTTGAGTCTCCATGAGAATTTGATGCCATTGTTGTGGTTGGCCCATACCCTACATTTAAAAATAGAATAAAAGTATCAAGTGTTTTATTAGAGACTGAAGAATGCATAAGGCATGTATTAAAATGAAAAGCAGTAGCTTTTACTTATTAAACCACAGGTTATTATACTTCATTTAATATTTCAAAAGAGCAATGTATACGTATAAGTAACTGCTAAAACAATAAAAGGGAGTTCAACTGAAAAAAATACAGTACATATCAATATATGACTGCTCTGTTTGCTAGAGATCCTAATTACACATTAGGAGAAAAAGCAAACAGAGCATAGCAAGCCAACAACCTGCTAATCTTCTGAGACTGAGGCTGAACTAGTAATGGAAGTTACCTTTTCTTTGTTGCAGCAGTTCTTGGTGAGTAGCATCCTTTGCATTTGATTCATGCTGCAAAGCCTTTTTATACTGGGCAGCTTCGCTGGACAGGGAGTTCAGGTTATCTTCAGCTTGTGACCTTTCTAGTTCAAGACGATGGATTTTTTCCTGAAGCGTTTTCAGGGCTGCCACAAGAGCTGGTAAACAAGTAACTTAAGCCTTACTGCTTTGTTTTTATGCTTCTGGTGCTTAACATTGATAAAGTAAAGAGAATAAACTTGCAACAGCTGTGACAGTACATACACATTTTATCGCTGTGCCTTTCCCTAGAGGCTGGAAATGTTGAATTAATAAGGCATGTATTCCCTTCACTTCTACAGCTGCTAGAAAGCGAAAAGGGCATTAGAAATATAACTTGTTTCATCTTTTCTTACCGCTTCCAGTTCATTGCCACTATCATTCAGATTGAAGATGACTAAGCAACATGTAAATTTTACATTTTCCCCACCTCACTTCCAGCAAGAGAAAGTATTATTAAAATCTGTCCATATCTTCTACTAGCTACAAAAGAACTAAAACACACACTGTCCTGTTCGTATCTTCAGCATAAAACTTTTTTTCCTTTTGCACTACAAGAAAGCTGTGCTAGTGCCAAGCTGAGTGGATCATATACTAAACAAGTTCACTCAAGTTCTTAGCAGTAATTTCTTAACAGGGCCTTGGAACTCGCCATTCAGTCAACGGATCTTTGAGAACAAGTCAACTGTACGTAACTGATGAGTCTGAAGGACAATGTGGCATAAGAAAATAATATGGAATGTAAGTTCTGACTGAACATGATAGGGCTGGCGGACCAGACATCTGTAATATGTTCACAATATTTAAGTATAATTTGTTATACGTAAATACTTAATAAAGAGGGAGAAGATCAGTCAACCAGCAGGAAGAAAGGCAAACACTGCACATTCTTTTGGGAGACCCAGGGCATTTTCATTAGTATCTGTTCATCTTCCATTTTCAGCTTGCTAGAAAGAATAAACATCTTTGCTATTTTTCTTGCCCTCCGCTCCCAATTACATTTGCTTTACTGAGAGAAATAACAGAGTTTATGATAATGAAATATTTCAAGGAAACATAAGTAAAACATTAAAGAGGAACCTTCTACATAGCACAATAGACTTACATTTCAGTTTCAGCAAAATTTTAAAAAAAGTTTCTATGCCAAAACAGGAAGAAAAAAAAAAGACTGGGAAACTTCTGCAACAGAAGCCATTTTTGACGTCCTTAAATCTATGCTCAGCTTTTTCATTGTCAAAGACCAGAAACATGTGGGTACTTATTCCCCTGGGGACATGATATCTATTACAACATTATAAATTCTAATCATATGTTTTTGTTGTGCTTCTGAAATTCAACCTGTTATTTTGAGGTGCAGACCCATATGAATGATGCAAAAAGACTGAGACAGAAAACCATGGTTTGATGCCATTTAAAAATTGATAAATGTCCTGCATTTTTCCCCTGCAAGCCGCTGCACCTCGAGACGGGTGTTCTGAGCAAGAAGCAAATGAAAGAAGACAAACAGCATGAAATCATGGTTTACCTTTTTATTCCAAAGTACAGTATACAGTGCTAATATTGCCAGGAGGAGGACATAGTTACAGTTATTTTGAAGTTTTGTGTATAAAATTGGTTTTTTGTTTGTTTTTATTTTTTAAAGTTTGGATTGTGCAGTGCAATATATGTTTATTAAAACGTAAAATAAAAAAAAATACTACTAGTGCAAGCCACTGTTTGGTCTGATTCTCAGCTTAAACAGTAGGTAATTTGGCCAGGCAAGGCCAGCTAAAACAAGCACATATTTCCTCTTGGGCAGTTTCTATTCTGTAACTAAAAGGGACATAGCCCCAGCCTAGTTGACACTTGCCAGCTCTACAGAGAAACTATTTACTACCAGATCAATGCAGCAGTTTCTCTTTCTTCTTAATGCTTAGCCCAGTCCTCAAATTAATGCCATGTTCCAAAATGCATTCATCACGAGCCAAGATTTGTTGGCTTGGTTTCACATAAATAATGCTCATTTCTGTGTTTGGGGCTTTACCTTTGTTATTTGGTACAGGAGCGTCTGTTGGGATAGCTGGTCTCTTCTTTGACCTGAGATCAGCAAATGCAGAGCATATATTATCTGGAGGCTGGAGAAAGCTTCCAATGTAGCTATGTTTTGAGTCAGTGTCCACAGACTGTAGAAAGAGATACAATGTCACTTCTGAGCACCAATGTATGAGCTTTCTTTCCTAGTTTATTCAATGTGATCTAAGTGATCAGTTCAGAAACAGCTACTTTTTTGTGCTAGTGAAGTTGCATCACTTACCTCCATTATAAAAGATCAAGTGCTCCTTCCAATCACCTGTCAAGACAAAAGACACATACTGTATGTTGGTTCTTGATTGTGAAGCACAAACTGGGATATTTTTTTCTCAGCTGCCCATATTTATTTTCTAATATTAGAGACATTCATACATAATAAAGAGAAAACTGAACAAAATATCCTGGCTGCTTTTCCCCAACAAAAAATGTGACAGAAAGTAACATAATAAGCAGCAAACTGGTTTGTTACTCATTGCATTACACGTCTGCTTCATTACGCTGCGGTGGATAACCCTAGAGCAGTGGTGGCGAACCTTTTTGGGCTGCTTCCTAAAACCTTAAGCTTTTTTATTTAACGGCATGCTGCCACCGGACCCAGACCCGGAAGACCGGAACAGGAAGTGGCAGTTTAAGGGGGAATCCTGGCTGCAGCCACCTCATGAGATTTGGCTGCACAGGGGCAAGGGGGAGTAGCGACCTATGTCTCACGTGCCAGAAGGGCTCCAGCTGTGGCACGCGTGCCATAGGTTCGCCATCACTGCCTAGAGTGTCTGGGAGCCCATTTTTTGTCCTCCAAACTCCACCAATGGCCTATCCCACCCCCAGAGAAAAAAGCAACAACTATATGACGTGCACACACTGTTCAGGGCTTTGTTCTGAGGGATCTGGGAGGTGTCTAAAGAAGCAGAAAAGAGTATTATTAGAAGGGATGCCAGGGGTGGTGAGACAGCGGTGAGGTACAGAAACGCCAAATGGCATCGGGGATCACATTTTTCCAATCCCGTCCATGCAATAATTTATGCCACACTTGAGAAATAAGAAGCACTCACAAACTGAGTCCTGAAAGACCACTTGTACTGTTACTACTCAGAACCTTTTGTGTCAATTCAGGATTTAACTTTGAAATAAATGAATATGGTGTTAGTTATTCTGTACCCATTCCTCAAGGCTAGACACTCAATTATTGATATTGCCGCTTTGGAGATGCTGATTATGGCTGCTTTACAATTCACAACATCACCTCACATCTGCAATCTGCCTTCCACATGTTCTGTGGACATCCTAACATTTATACGCTCAGCAAATAACCATTATGTTAGTGGGGAAGGATATGTTTGGTGCACAGAATCACTGATGGTTAATACCTCCCTTTCAAGTTACCCAGCAAGAAAACAGGTGAGGGGGGATGTGATGCAAATTGTTTCATGACTGGTTAAGTGATCCTCCAATACAGATGAGAATGTAACCACAAAAAGCCCTAACTGGGAACAAGGATGGGGGGAAAGGTAGATTTGAACCTACTATTATATTTCTGGATGATTTATTTTACCAAGGATTTTTTACTTGGATGATATGTGTTCCATCTAAGGCAAAAGGTAAATCTCTGTATCACAGCTATTTTTGTGCTTTCAGAAATGGAGATCCACCATTTAACTAACCACACTACTAGATGTTATGTAGTAGCAGCATACTCTGCAGTTACTCTTTCAAACCAGAGTCTCCATCTTGAGACTGCATTTAACAGCAGAGATCAGGGTCAGATTTTTTAAATTTCTCTGTTCCCTCCATCAAAAGACTACCTTTGTTTTTGCAAAAACAACAAAATGGCTGCTTCCTAAAACCTTAAGCTTTTTTATTTAACGGTACAGTAGTAAGCTTGGGCTTGCATGCCCAAAATGGGGGGGGGGGACGACAGCGGGTGGCATGCTGCCACCGGACCCAGACCCGGAAGACCGGAACAGGAAGTGGCAGTTTAAGGGGGAATCCTGGCTGCAGCCACCTCATGAGATTTGGCTGCACAGGGGCAAGGGGGAGTAGCGACCTATGTCTCACGTGCCAGCGATGTTGCTGGAACCAGTTGTATTGGCTCTTGCCTTTCCATTGGACCATTTCAGCAAAGTGGAAAGGGGGGAATCTGCTGCTAGGGTAACAGCCTATCCTCCATATTACCTTACCCGGGCTTCAGGCTCTGGAGTGGACACTCCTCGATTCAGAGCATGTTATCATAGTCTCTCAAGACTGAAGGATGCCTATGCTGAGTAAGCTCTGACCAGCTTTCCCTCAGTGACTAGCTGCCTGAACAGAATTTTTAAGTGGATTGTAATGCATAACTGATTAGACTGTCTTTTTAGTATTGCTTTTGTTTACCATTTCTCAGAGTGGTGTTTGTTTCTTCTTAGTATTGGTATATTAATTGTTTTTAGCTTTAAATATTGTCTTTTAATGATGCAAGCTGCCTTGGGTCATTTTTAAGGAGAAAGACCGTGTAATGTATTTTAATTCTAAATAAATAAAATCAGTTTCAGCATTCCAAGTAAGTGCCTTAACATTTTTTTATTTTATGCAACTTTTGCATCATATTCCAGTTGTGGGATCTTGGGAGTTCTGGTAAAAAACTAAAAAGGAGGGTTAAGAGGAGCCCAATTTATACAGAACAAAATGCCAAAACTTGCCAAATGGATTTCATGTACCTACTCCCAATTCAACTCCTACTTTATTTACAGTGGTGCCTCACTTAACGATTGCCTCGTTAAACGACGAAACTGCTTCACGACAACATTTTTGAGATCACAAAACAATGGTCTAAATAGGTTTTTTTTGCTTTGCAATGATCGGTTCCCTGCTTCTGGAACCGATTCTTCGCAAAACAATGTTTTTTTAACGGCTGATTGGCTGCTGGGTAATTAAAATGGCTCCCCGCTGTGTTTAGGGACGGATTCCCCACTTTACAGGCAGCGAAAATGGCTGCCCTATGGAGGATCTTCGCTGGACTGTGAGTTTTCAGCTCATTGGAATGAATTGAACCGGTTTCAATGCATTTCAATGGGCTTTTCCGTTTCGCAAGACGATGTTTTCGTAAGACAGCTATCTTTGCGGAACGAATTAACATCATCTTGCGAGGCACCACTGTATTTATTTATTCATTCATTTATTCAATTTGTATCCCGCTCCCATTAGTGTCAAAGCACTACTCTAAGCAGGTTACAATTTCATAAAATAGAAAACAAATGAAAATAACAAAACTATAACTGATAACAAAAACCCTAAAAAAAGAAAAAGAAAAGAAAACCAGATGGCACCCAGTATGTAATCTACTTTACAGCTCAGCTGGAACAGACAATTGGCTTGGCACCCAGAAACAGGGGCCTTAAATGCATTAGCCGTCTGGATAAGGCCGGGGAGGATAGCTCACATTTTTACCCATAAAACCTCACACTGAAATGAATCTGTTAGCCTTCGGAAGTGCCACTTATATCCTCCTCCTTTTAATTTTTCTAACACGCCGAGACAGGCTTGGAGAGTTCTTTCGAAATTTCAGCTCTGCCTTCTCTAAAAGGGCTTTGGAATAAGGAGGAGGTGGCGGCAAGCACACACTCGGGTCTATTCCGATGCTTTTTGCAGGATGGGGAGAAGGAGAACACTCTAAGGATCTTGTAATACCCACAAGAAGGGGGAAAGAGACACAGGAGAGGATCATGCACGCCACTTTTGAGACTCCCTTTCTTCATCCTGCAGAACCATGAGGGCGGGCGCGGGGTGGGCGATATTCCAGCATGAATGGGCTCAGGGCGAGAAGAGGAGGCTGAAATCATACTGGAGGCGTTACTATCAGGAAGCATATGCGCGTGGGAAATGGATAACGGCTCCCGATTCAGCCCCAGTCGGAAGAAAGGAAACGGCTGAACATAAAAAAGAGCCCACCCAAGATAACACGCCCAAGGAGGAACTACAGGCAGAAGCTCAACAGGTCACCATTCCACAACTCCCTCCCGCCCCGCCGGAGGAACGCAAACACTAGAAGAGTTTGTTAAAAAAAATGCATACCCTCGCCCCCTACACGGCCTGTATCCAAGCCCGAAACGCTCTCCCCACCAGCGTGCGACCCGAAACACACCACGACGAGCCCTTGAATCTCCTGGCTTTCTTCCTGGAACGTCCTTCTCCAGAGCCGTTTTCAAACGGACCGCCTCCCCTCCCGCTCTTGAAGAGGCTCCGCCCTGCTTCCGCCGAGGAAACAAGCGAGGCGCATGCGCGGCCAGCAAAAAAAAAAGCGGTTTCTCTCGGCGAGGCTGGCAGGGCGTGGACGCCCCCCCCCTTTTTTTTTGCCCTGGGCATTGCGGGAGCTGCCGCACGTCTTCAGGCTGGTCCACGACCGTAGCACATCTTAATTCGCAAGAACATGGCGACAGACGGGGGAGGGAGAAAAAAAATGACCTCCGAATATTACAAAAAGTGCATTTCGCCCCTGTCCACATAATGCGTTCACTGTGACTCTGTGGAGTTCTTGTCATGCTGCACGGCGGATAGAGTGTGAATGGGCACATCATTCTCTTTTTTCATTTCTCTTCCTAGAACACCTATAGGTGTTAGAGATAGATAGATAGACAGATAGATAAGACAGACACCTACCGAAAAATAACACCGCCCATTTGCTCCGAATGCGTGGCTGATGCGATTCAGAGCCTTTCACACATACGTCTCAATAAGCCACTGATAAGATTACAATATCGCTATTTTGTATGTAGAAACCGGAACTGGCAACCTTTTCGGATACACCTCTCTACTGTACTTCTAACGACTTCACATACTGAGAGCAATTACCAACGGATGCTCTTAGCACAGACATGTCATGTGTGCATGGCTGTCTTACTTGCAGCTTTTAAAATCACAGAAATATCCACACACTGACACATTATTAATATTCAGTTCCTAAAAAGGCATGTTGTACTGTATCTGAAGTGGTAGGTCCTTTAAGTTAGATGTTTGGCACATTTACTCAGACCTAAGCCTCTTGGAATTCAAAGGAACTTTGCACTATAGATCTTATTTAAACTCATTCTTAACAGAAAATGTGAACCACAGTTCTGTGCATTGGCTTATTACCTGATGTTCAATCTGTATTTTATAAGAATGCTTGATTTTTCAGGAGTTAAAATGAGGGCCGTAATGTTAAATGTAACAAATGAGTAGTTTTTGTAAGTGATGTACTTAGACACCTTACTCTCATTTACAGAACTGTTAGTTGCAACATCAAGTGAGCAAGCTTGCAGAATGAAAAGCACCATGCATGCTTATTCCTTTGAGATTGATTTCATTTGAACAGAATGCATGTAAGTGCTTGCATGTCTCTGAGCCACTACATGGAAAGTCATAGGATACAGTTCTTCCCATTTCCATTGATGTGGCCAATCAACGACAACAATTTTTTCATGCATATTTGTTTTGATTAGGTACTACATATTTTAAAAGATAACAAGACTGCTTAAATATTGGCAAAATCCCATTCAAGCAGCTGTAATGTAGGGGCATGCCCACATAATTGTGGCAGGAATTACACCCAACAACAGGGAATTGCATGATTTGATTGTGCAATTGGACATGCAGTTCCAATTACCACTCTTGCACAATGCTCCAGTGGAAGTTCTTCATTAATAAATAGCATTTCCACCTTGGTGCTTTCGTGGCTACTACAGGTATAACATCAAGTTACAACCATATAGTTAAACGAGAGTTTTGCCGAGTATATTAAATTAACTACAAGCAAAATGTAATTTCAAGATTAAAAAAATTATCCTAACACTGCATCTAGTTGGCAGTTACTAAGCAGCTCCCCTTCATGGATTGCTGCCTTGTCGTGGCGAAGGGGCTTGAGTAACTCAGTGAAGCTATGGGCTATGCCGTGCAGGGCCACCCAAGATGGACAGGTCAGTGGAGAGTTCCAACTAAACACAATCCACCTGGAGCAGGCAGTGGCAAGCCACTCCAGTACCTTTGCCAAGAAAGCCCCATGAACAGAAACAAAAGGCTAAAAGATATGACTCTGGAAGATGGGACTCTCAGGTCGGAAGGCGTCCAACATTCTACTGAAGAAGAGCGGATGACATGTACTGTACAAGTAGCACCAGAGCTAATGAAGTGGTTGGGCCAAAGCCGAAAGGACGCTCAGCTGTGGAAGGAAAGTCCGATGCTGCAAAGAAAAATACTGCACAGGAACCTGGAATGTAAGATCTATGAACCTTGATAAGCTGGATGTGGTCAAACAGGAGGTAGCAAGAATAAACATTGACATCCTGGGCATCAGTGAACTAAAATGGACAGGAATGGGCGAATTCAATTCAGACTGTTATCATATCTACTCTTGTGGGCAAGAAGCCCGTAGAAGGAATAGAGTAGCCCTCATAGTCAACAAAAGAGTGGGAAAAGCTGTAATGGGATATAATCTCAAAAATGATAGAATGAATGATGCCAATACGAATCCAAGGCAGACCTTTCAACATCACAATAATCCAAGTTTATGCACCAACCACCATTGCTGAGGAGACTGAAATTGACCAATTCTATGAAGACTTACAACACCTTCTAGAACTGACACCAAAGAAAGATGTTCTTCTCATTCTAGGGGACTGGAATGCTAAAGTAGGGAGTCAAGAGATAAAAGGAACAACAGGAAAGTTTGGCCTTAGAGTTCAGAATGAAGCAGGGCAAAGGCTAATAGAGTTTTGTGAAGAGAACAAGCTGGTCATCACAAACGCTCTTTTCCAACAACACAAGAGGCGACTCTACACATGGAAATCACCAGATGGGTAATACCGTAATCAGATTGACTATATTCTCTGCAGCCAGAGATGGAGAAGCTCAGTCTATTCAGTCAGCAAAAACAAGACCTGGAGCTGATTGTGGTTCTGATCATTAGCTTCTCATAGCAAAATTCAAGCTTAAACTGAAGAGAGTAGGAAAAACCACTGGGCTAGTCAGGTATAATCTAAACCAAACCCCTTATGAATACACAGTGGAAGTGAAGAACAGATTTAAGGAACTAGATTTGGTGGACAGAGTGCCTGAAGAACTTTGGATAGAGGCTCATAACATTGTACAGGAGGCAGCAACAAAAACCATCCCAAAGAAAAGGAAATGCAAGAAAGCAAAGTGGCTGTCCAATGAGGCCTTAGAAATAGCA